CACTATTCTTGTGTACTCTGTGATCCAACTGATCATCCTGTCCTCCCTATCAGAGCACTACCCCTGCAGACCAGCAGTGCCACATAGCACCTGCCAGAGCATGTGAAAACCACCAGTTCTCAAGAGGTACTTGGGGAAGGAGTAATGAGGTGGTGCAGTGGGACCCTCTTCTTCACTCATTCAGGATGATGGGAGGAGGGGTTTAAGTAGGGGGGGAATTGGAGGACATCTGTAATACTGTCAACAATAAAATTAAAAAAAGAAAAAAGTTAGAACACTATTCCAAATGTTTCCAGCTATGACAGCATCTGTTACAAAAGCTCTTTGATGCCCCTGGTAAAATCACTACTATGGATGGATATATGTGAAATCTTAACCAAGTAGGTAGTTAGAAAATGTCCATTTATGAAAGTTTGAATGTAGTATATATAAACAGGAACAGTGCATTGCAAACCACAGGGAAAGCAGTTTCAAAGCAGCTTATCAAATATTAGCTAGGGGGGGTTCCTATAAAACTTTAGGTCTTCTGATGTACATGAGTGAACACATTGACCACCATCTTGACTTTTTAGATTACCCCCAGGAACACTTCCATGCAGAGGTCTGTGTTTTTCCATGCCCTCTGAAAATCCAAAGTAAGGAAAAAGACGTTATGGCAGAACTATGGATGTATTTGCTCTTTCCACTGTTGAGCTCCTTAGCAGGAGGAGCTGCAAGAGATTCCTAATTCACCAAATTGACAAATGACCCACCGCTCTGTAACAGCAAGACTAAAGGGCACAACTCAGCAGAACAGTGGCTGCTACAGATAAATACCCTTTGATGGGCCTCTTACCCTTTGCCCATTGTCTTCATCCCCTTGCTTTTGAGGAGCAGCAACCTTCTTCAAACAACCATTGCTCCCCCTAACCTGTGGTGCTAAGAAGGGGTGCCACTCATGGGACTCCACACACCTGAAACCAGGCCAGAGTCCTGCCTTAGGATTTTCCAACTTTAGCTATGGTTGGTACAAGAAGAGGAGGAAGGTGTGGGATAAGGAGAGTCCTCTCTTAAATAGAAAGACTGTGCAAATGGATGTCTGGGCACTCCTTATAATGGAAGAGAATAAAGCAGCAATGAGATCAGGACCCTGAGGCCCTCAGAACTGCAGGTACCTGCTTGAGTATTGGTTGTTCAACTCCTCCTTTGATTCAGTGAGCTACCCCAGGATCCCTTCTGTAATTCTCTTTTTTAGCTGATGCTAGATAAAGATGGATTTCTGTCACTGGTACTAAACAACAGTTCTGACAGCCAATACAAGAGCCAGCCTGGGGGGTATGGTTTCAAAGAGACTGGTCTAGCATTTCCGCTATTTTACACTTGATCCAACCAACATTTACTGAGTGCTAATCATGTGCCAGGCATAGTTCCAGGTACTAGAAAATACAAAGATGAAAAAGACATGGCCTTTGATCTAAAAAAAAAATTCAGTCTATTATAGTCAGAGGCTTAAAACACTCACCCCACCAAGGTAACTGTCTAATATACTAGGAGACAAGATGAAGACAAGTCAGGAATACCTAACATCTGAGAAGAACAAATTTTAAATGCTCCTACCCAGTTAAAATTATATTGTCAAAAGAATCTAAAGACCTAGACATTTTAAGTGACTAACTCAGCACAAGTACAACAGAGGAAAAGGTGGAGTAGGAAAAATACCAATGACACAAAAGCCACAATATGTTACAACTACAACAGCACAGGAATATGACAATCATAACCACTTTAGACCCAACCACTTTAGACCCCAGTCACTGCTGGTGATAAGACAAACACTCACGATTCAGAAATGCATGGGATATCATCTAAAAATCATTAGGCTCCAAAAAATCTGATAGACGGAGAAAGTTGAGAGGTAAAGATGATGGAAAGGGAACTTGCTGCTCTGCTGGGTTTTCCAAGATCTGTTTCTAGGATGGACCCTGGAAGAACTGGATATTCATTAAATGGCAGAATATACCAGGTCACAGTCTAAAATGTCTTGCAAAAAGCCACCGGCCTCGCCCTAACCGGTTTGGCTCAGTGGATAGAGTGTCAGCCTGTGGACTCAAGGGCCACAGGTTCGATTCAGGTCAAGGGCATGTACCTTGATTGCAGGCACATCCCCAGCAGGAAGTGTGCAGGAGGCAGCTGTTTCTCTCTCATCGATGTTTCTAACTCTCTATCCCTCTCCCTTCCTCTCTGTAAAAAATCAATAAAATATATATTTTTTAAAAAAGCCACCGGCCTCCATTTGTACTGGACATTAACAGCAGCCAAGTAAGAGAAATCCTCTGGCTCACATCTCAGTTCAAATACTCCAATGTCCCTGAAAGACCTGAAGGCCAGGGTCACAGGGTCAGGGTCAGTGAGGAAGGCAACATTTACTTCTGATACTGATAGGTTGTTTCTGACAGGGCAGACAGCAGCAGTTTGTAGATCACCTGTGAAAAAGTCTGGGATGAATAGGCCTTTTCACTGCCTTCTTCTCTCAAGCCTCTTTTGTAGAGGGATGTAGGTAGCAACAAAGGAGAGATTTATCACCAAGAGCCCGTTGGGCAGCTGTTTTCTTGTTGTCCCTTGTTTAACTTCTCTCTCTCGAGAGCAGAGTTATCTACCCAGCTAAGCAGGTGTTTAAGGCAGGTGATTTTGTTTCCATTAATTTTCTTAAGTAATAGTAAACCAGACGAGAGGGTTATCTCATGTACTCATGGGAAACCTTAACCCTGTGCCTGCTAAATCACAAGGTAAATGCTGTGGTAGAAATGTGAACTTCTGCTCCCTGTTGGTTCTAAAATCTTCAAATCTCTAATTTTAATAGCAAGCAAAGCTTCAGTCACTGCTCATTCTTACCCCTTGACATTTGAATGTAGTCTTTTTTAATGATGTATTAGATGTAAAGTGAAGTTGGAGGCCTTCAGGAAAAACCAGATAAGAGAAGTATTACTGTTCATTTCAAAACTCAGATAAACCATCACATTAATGACTATTACATTTTCATGTTCCAAGCTTCTGTGAGGGAGAGATTAACATAAAATATGAAAAAATTATTTTCATTTTAAAGCCTAAGGCTTCACAAACCTATAAACTTATCCACAAGCTCTGGATGGACTTTCCAAACTTTTCTATGATCTTCTCTATGAGACCCACAGTGTGTGCATTCTGCACTAGACTTGTGTCACTACCTTCAATAGGAATTTTGCTACTCCCATTCATCCTCAGCTGTAGACAGCCACTGGTGGCTTGATGAGAACCACATTTTTATATTTGCTGGACAAAATCCTTTTATGCTTTAGTCCTTTTATTACCTTTACTTTTCTCCTACTGTAGAGCCATTATCACAAGGAGCAAACATTCGATGGCACATTTCTTTCTCTTTATCTGTGTAGTCCCTGTAGTGGCTGTAAAGTGAAATACACAGTAGTTAGAGAAGGTCTGTCTTTGTAGGAGGTGACATCTGGTGGCTGGAATTCTCCACTCAGCTCCAGAAGCACTGAAAATTCAGTGGGCTTTAAACTGAATCGGGAGGGGGTAGAAGCAATACTGGAGAGGTAGGTGAGACAGTGGAGGCTCCCAAGAGCTGTTAAGGAAGCCCTTGGACAAAAAGCCCATTTCTGAAAACATGGCAGCCTTGAAGGCTAGGAGCCACTGTCAGTGAAGCTGCCAGGCGACACCACGCACTCAGTAACCACTAACTTATCTTGAAATTTTTTTTGCTAAAGAATGGTTAGATTCCAAAATTTCTACATTTATCCTGACAGGATACTTATAAATAGCAGAAAGAAAATTGGTGGAAAGTTCTAAAAGGCCCAAAATACAATTGGATCCAAATATAAAGAGGTACACATACATCAGCTTTTTTTAATTGCAAGAAAGCTTTAACTAAGCAATTTGGATTAAATGTTTAATGTTAATAGTAGAGAAATTCACCAATACTGAACAACAACAACAACAAAAACATCTTAAAAAACGGTGGATGTAGCCTGGCCAGCGTGGTTTAGTGGTTGAGCATTGACCTATGAACCAGGAGGTCACAGTTCGATTCCCAGTCAGGGCACATGCCTGAGTTTCAGGCTTGATCCTCAGTAGGGGGCATGCAGGAGGCAGCTGATAAATGATTCTTTCTCATCGTTGATGTTGCTATCTCTCTCTCCCTCTCCCTTCCTCTCTGAAATCAATAAAAATATATTAAAAAACAAACAAACGGTGTATATATCATGGGGTGGTGGAATATCAAATTTATGTTGATATTTTCAAAATTTTCTACAATGTACATGAAATTTCTATAATCATAAAATGTTACTTTACTGGCCCTGGCTGGGTGGCTCAGTTGCTTGGAGCATCATCCCGTACACCAAAAGATTTCGGGTTCGATCCCTATTCAGGGCTTGTACAGGAGGCAACCAACTGATTGATATTTCTCTCTCACATCAATGTTTCGCTCTCTCCCCCCGACTCCCCCCATCTCTAAAAATCAATAAAAAACATACCCTCAGGTGAGGATAAAATAAATAAATAAATAGTTACATTACTGAAAGATTGGTGTGTATATATATATTACTTGGATAACAAAACACTCTATGGGTATGAATCAGACCTGAAAGATCAATTTCAGATCAAACCAGGGTCTATAAGACACCTTTCTGCAGTCAGTTGAGAACAGTTGGTGTCAAATAGAAAGAGTATCTGAAGAACAAGTCCCTTTTAAAAATCACATTAGCCCTCCTCTTTAGGGGTGCTTATGTGCAGGGGGAGGAGTGAAACAGGGAGATGGAAAAATGATCCAGACAGATGTAGTTTGGAGTTGGTCCCACTTCCTCACTAGGAGCTGCTGGTTTAGAGTATTGAACACTTCAAACAACTAGCTCTAGGGGTCGCTGCCTCATAACACGTGCTGGACAACATCCCCAGGTGGAGAGATCAGAACCGTAAGGCATCATCATACCTCTCTTTCTCTGTTAGCAGAAGTGCAAACACAGGTCTCACCTGGCCAGTTTCTTCAGCTCATTATTGATGTCATGATTGAAGGGCTGTTCTTTCTGGGCTCGGACTAGAAAATCTCGGGCCTTCTGATACTCAGTCATGAGGAGACAGGCCTGTCAAATGACAGAATTTAAAAGCATAATTAGGGCCGAAACCGGTTTGGCTCAGTGGATAGAGCGTCGGCCTGCGGACTGAGGGGTCCCGGGTTCGATTCCGGTCGGGGGCGTGTGCCTGGGTTGCGGGCACGTCCCCAGTAGGAGATGTGCAGGAGGCGGCTGATCGATGTTTCTGGCTCTCTATCTCTCTCCCTTTCTCTCTGTAAAAAATCAATAAAATATATTTTTTTAAAAAAAGCATAATTAGGAAAGAGCATTTTTTGCATTGCCCAAGTTGAACACCATTGCCACCTTTGCTTAGGCATTTGTTCTCAAGTCCTTGTCCTCCAACTCACCTGTCCACAACGGAAGAGGGCTTTGGCATTCTTTTGGTCAATAATCAGAGCCTGCTCTCCATAGTGCAGGGCCCTGGTGGGATGCTCCAGCTTCAGGTATGTAAAGGAGAGGTTAAGGAGAACAAGAAGCTTGGCGGCTTCCACCAGGTGCTGCTCTTCAGGGGGTGCTGATCGCCGGCAGAGAAGCAACAAGGCCTGTGGAGAGGAAAGACAGGTGGTCAAGAGGAGTGACAATATTATATACAGAAAAGCCTAAGAATCCACAAAAAAATCCTTTTGAGCTAAAAATTTAGTTCAGCAAAGTTTCAGGATACAAGGTCAATATATGAGTTAGCTATATTTCTATACTCTAACAATAAACAATCCAAAAATGAAATTAAGAAAATAACTCCAGCCCTAGCTGGTTTGGCTCAGTGAATAGAGTGTCTGCCTTTGGACGGAAGGGTCCCGGCTTTGATTTCAGTCAAGGGCACATACCTCGGTTGCAGGCTCGATCCCTCGCCCTGGTTGGGGTGAGTGTGGGAGACAATCAATCAATGTTTCCCTCTCACATCAATATTTCTGTCTGTCTCTCCTACTCCCTTCCACTCTCTCTAAAAATCAATGGAAAAATATCCTCAGGTGAGGATTAACCAAAAAACAACAACAAAAAAACACCTCTATTTATAGTATCACCAAAAGAATAAAATAAGTAGCAATAAATTTAAAGTGGAAGACTTGTACACTGAAAACTACAAAACATTGTTGGAAGAAATTAAAAATGACAAATAAATGGAAAGACACTCATGTTCATGGATTGATGTCTCTCTCTCTCTCCCTCTATAAAATCAATTTTAAAAAATTAAAATTATGACAATACTGGGAAAGTAGAAGTGAGAACTAAAGCCTCACCTTCTGTAATGAGAAATAAAAAAATGTCTGAAAGAGCAGCTAAAGCATGTCATTTATAAATTCAGAATATCATAAAAACAGCAGATATAATTAAAAAGTGACTGCTTCAGGGGATCAGACCCAGGAAATAAGAGAGAAGGAGTGGTCTGTTCTTTCAAGTAAGCAGGCTCTCAAGAAACTTTATGAATAGTATCTATGATTCAACTGTGAGACAAAATCTGTACTATCCAAGTGTAAGAACCAGATTTTGTCAGCATTCCAAAAGACAGGCACATGCATGCTCTCCTCTTTTCTCTCTCTGAAGCATATTCACATAAGCCAAATGTGGCAGATACTGTTAGCTGCGTAACCAATATCTATTCCCCTCCTCTTCTCCTAACCACTTCCATTTCATCCAAAGCAGCAATGTACTAATTTTAAAAGTACATTTCCCAGCTTCCTATACACTAAGGGCTGTCCATTTAACATGGCTAATGAAATATAAAGGGAAGCAATATACAAACACACCAGACTCCTCTCCCCTCTTCTTTCTGCCCAGGTACTCATGTGATGCTACAAGTTGAATGACCATCTTGGGGGGAAAACAGGACACATGTAAGGGTGGCTAAGCAGAAAGACAGAAGGAGCCTGGATCCCTGGTGGCTTCATCGAACTGCTCTACAGCCTTGGACTGCCACCCTTTTTATGTGAGGAAAAAGTAAATATCTATTTTGCTTAAAGATCTCATCGATGTTTCTAACTCTCTATCCCTCTCCCTTCCTCTCTGTAAAAAATCAATAAAATATATATTTTTTAAAAAAGCCACCGGCCTCCATTTGTACTGGACATTAACAGCAGCCAAGTAAGAGAAATCCTCTGGCTCACATCTCAGTTCAAATACTCCAATGTCCCTGAAAGACCTGAAGGCCAGGGTCACAGGGTCAGGGTCAGTGAGGAAGGCAACATTTACTTCTGATACTGATAGGTTGTTTCTGACAGGGCAGACAGCAGCAGTTTGTAGATCACCTGTGAAAAAGTCTGGGATGAATAGGCCTTTTCACTGCCTTCTTCTCTCAAGCCTCTTTTGTAGAGGGATGTAGGTAGCAACAAAGGAGAGATTTATCACCAAGAGCCCGTTGGGCAGCTGTTTTCTTGTTGTCCCTTGTTTAACTTCTCTCTCTCGAGAGCAGAGTTATCTACCCAGCTAAGCAGGTGTTTAAGGCAGGTGATTTTGTTTCCATTAATTTTCTTAAGTAATAGTAAACCAGACGAGAGGGTTATCTCATGTACTCATGGGAAACCTTAACCCTGTGCCTGCTAAATCACAAGGTAAATGCTGTGGTAGAAATGTGAACTTCTGCTCCCTGTTGGTTCTAAAATCTTCAAATCTCTAATTTTAATAGCAAGCAAAGCTTCAGTCACTGCTCATTCTTACCCCTTGACATTTGAATGTAGTCTTTTTTAATGATGTATTAGATGTAAAGTGAAGTTGGAGGCCTTCAGGAAAAACCAGATAAGAGAAGTATTACTGTTCATTTCAAAACTCAGATAAACCATCACATTAATGACTATTACATTTTCATGTTCCAAGCTTCTGTGAGGGAGAGATTAACATAAAATATGAAAAAATTATTTTCATTTTAAAGCCTAAGGCTTCACAAACCTATAAACTTATCCACAAGCTCTGGATGGACTTTCCAAACTTTTCTATGATCTTCTCTATGAGACCCACAGTGTGTGCATTCTGCACTAGACTTGTGTCACTACCTTCAATAGGAATTTTGCTACTCCCATTCATCCTCAGCTGTAGACAGCCACTGGTGGCTTGATGAGAACCACATTTTTATATTTGCTGGACAAAATCCTTTTATGCTTTAGTCCTTTTATTACCTTTACTTTTCTCCTACTGTAGAGCCATTATCACAAGGAGCAAACATTCGATGGCACATTTCTTTCTCTTTATCTGTGTAGTCCCTGTAGTGGCTGTAAAGTGAAATACACAGTAGTTAGAGAAGGTCTGTCTTTGTAGGAGGTGACATCTGGTGGCTGGAATTCTCCACTCAGCTCCAGAAGCACTGAAAATTCAGTGGGCTTTAAACTGAATCGGGAGGGGGTAGAAGCAATACTGGAGAGGTAGGTGAGACAGTGGAGGCTCCCAAGAGCTGTTAAGGAAGCCCTTGGACAAAAAGCCCATTTCTGAAAACATGGCAGCCTTGAAGGCTAGGAGCCACTGTCAGTGAAGCTGCCAGGCGACACCACGCACTCAGTAACCACTAACTTATCTTGAAATTTTTTTTGCTAAAGAATGGTTAGATTCCAAAATTTCTACATTTATCCTGACAGGATACTTATAAATAGCAGAAAGAAAATTGGTGGAAAGTTCTAAAAGGCCCAAAATACAATTGGATCCAAATATAAAGAGGTACACATACATCAGCTTTTTTTAATTGCAAGAAAGCTTTAACTAAGCAATTTGGATTAAATGTTTAATGTTAATAGTAGAGAAATTCACCAATACTGAACAACAACAACAACAAAAACATCTTAAAAAACGGTGGATGTAGCCTGGCCAGCGTGGTTTAGTGGTTGAGCATTGACCTATGAACCAGGAGGTCACAGTTCGATTCCCAGTCAGGGCACATGCCTGAGTTTCAGGCTTGATCCTCAGTAGGGGGCATGCAGGAGGCAGCTGATAAATGATTCTTTCTCATCGTTGATGTTGCTATCTCTCTCTCCCTCTCCCTTCCTCTCTGAAATCAATAAAAATATATTAAAAAACAAACAAACGGTGTATATATCATGGGGTGGTGGAATATCAAATTTATGTTGATATTTTCAAAATTTTCTACAATGTACATGAAATTTCTATAATCATAAAATGTTACTTTACTGGCCCTGGCTGGGTGGCTCAGTTGCTTGGAGCATCATCCCGTACACCAAAAGATTTCGGGTTCGATCCCTATTCAGGGCTTGTACAGGAGGCAACCAACTGATTGATATTTCTCTCTCACATCAATGTTTCGCTCTCTCCCCCCGACTCCCCCCATCTCTAAAAATCAATAAAAAACATACCCTCAGGTGAGGATAAAATAAATAAATAAATAGTTACATTACTGAAAGATTGGTGTGTATATATATATTACTTGGATAACAAAACACTCTATGGGTATGAATCAGACCTGAAAGATCAATTTCAGATCAAACCAGGGTCTATAAGACACCTTTCTGCAGTCAGTTGAGAACAGTTGGTGTCAAATAGAAAGAGTATCTGAAGAACAAGTCCCTTTTAAAAATCACATTAGCCCTCCTCTTTAGGGGTGCTTATGTGCAGGGGGAGGAGTGAAACAGGGAGATGGAAAAATGATCCAGACAGATGTAGTTTGGAGTTGGTCCCACTTCCTCACTAGGAGCTGCTGGTTTAGAGTATTGAACACTTCAAACAACTAGCTCTAGGGGTCGCTGCCTCATAACACGTGCTGGACAACATCCCCAGGTGGAGAGATCAGAACCGTAAGGCATCATCATACCTCTCTTTCTCTGTTAGCAGAAGTGCAAACACAGGTCTCACCTGGCCAGTTTCTTCAGCTCATTATTGATGTCATGATTGAAGGGCTGTTCTTTCTGGGCTCGGACTAGAAAATCTCGGGCCTTCTGATACTCAGTCATGAGGAGACAGGCCTGTCAAATGACAGAATTTAAAAGCATAATTAGGGCCGAAACCGGTTTGGCTCAGTGGATAGAGCGTCGGCCTGCGGACTGAGGGGTCCCGGGTTCGATTCCGGTCGGGGGCGTGTGCCTGGGTTGCGGGCACGTCCCCAGTAGGAGATGTGCAGGAGGCGGCTGATCGATGTTTCTGGCTCTCTATCTCTCTCCCTTTCTCTCTGTAAAAAATCAATAAAATATATTTTTTTAAAAAAAGCATAATTAGGAAAGAGCATTTTTTGCATTGCCCAAGTTGAACACCATTGCCACCTTTGCTTAGGCATTTGTTCTCAAGTCCTTGTCCTCCAACTCACCTGTCCACAACGGAAGAGGGCTTTGGCATTCTTTTGGTCAATAATCAGAGCCTGCTCTCCATAGTGCAGGGCCCTGGTGGGATGCTCCAGCTTCAGGTATGTAAAGGAGAGGTTAAGGAGAACAAGAAGCTTGGCGGCTTCCACCAGGTGCTGCTCTTCAGGGGGTGCTGATCGCCGGCAGAGAAGCAACAAGGCCTGTGGAGAGGAAAGACAGGTGGTCAAGAGGAGTGACAATATTATATACAGAAAAGCCTAAGAATCCACAAAAAAATCCTTTTGAGCTAAAAATTTAGTTCAGCAAAGTTTCAGGATACAAGGTCAATATATGAGTTAGCTATATTTCTATACTCTAACAATAAACAATCCAAAAATGAAATTAAGAAAATAACTCCAGCCCTAGCTGGTTTGGCTCAGTGAATAGAGTGTCTGCCTTTGGACGGAAGGGTCCCGGCTTTGATTTCAGTCAAGGGCACATACCTCGGTTGCAGGCTCGATCCCTCGCCCTGGTTGGGGTGAGTGTGGGAGACAATCAATCAATGTGTCCCTCTCACATCAATATTTCTGTCTGTCTCTCCTACTCCCTTCCACTCTCTCTAAAAATCAATGGAAAAATATCCTCAGGTGAGGATTAACCAAAAAACAACAACAAAAAAACATATAGTATCATAGTATCACCAAAAGAATAAAATAAGTAGCAATAAATTTAAAGTGGAAGACTTGTACAGTGAAAACTACATTGGAAGAAATAAAAAATCTAATTCTAACAAAGCATGTTCTACCCAAGCCAGGTGCCTCCCCTCGCCCCAAGGTAAGTGCCCGGAAGCCCAGTCCTCCCGCGCCGCCAGCTTTTAAAAAATTAAAATTATGACAATACTGGGAAAGTAGAAGTGAGAACTAAAGCCTCACCTTCTGTAATGAGAAATAAAAAAATGTCTGAAAGAGCAGCTAAAGCATGTCATTTATAAATTCAGAATATCATAAAAACAGCAGATATAATTAAAAAGTGACTGCTTCAGGGGATCAGACCCAGGAAATAAGAGAGAAGGAGTGGTCTGTTTTCAAGAGAAAAAATTCTTTCAAGTAAGCAGGCTCTCAAGAAACTTTATGAATAGTATCTATGATTCAACTGTGAGACAAAATCTGTACTATCCAAGTGTAAGAACCAGATTTTGTCAGCATTCCAAAAGACAGGCACATGCATGCTCTCCTCTTTTCTCTCTCTGAAGCATATTCACATAAGCCAAATGTGGCAGATACTGTTAGCTGCGTAACCAATATCTATTCCCCTCCTCTTCTCCTAACCACTTCCATTTCATCCAAAGCAGCAATGTACTAATTTTAAAAGTACATTTCCCAGCTTCCTATACACTAAGGGCTGTCCATTTAACATGGCTAATGAAATATAAAGGGAAGCAATATACAAACACACCAGACTCCTCTCCCCTCTTCTTTCTGCCCAGGTACTCATGTGATGCTACAAGTTGAATGACCATCTTGGGGGGAAAACAGGACACATGTAAGGGTGGCTAAGCAGAAAGACAGAAGGAGCCTGGATCCCTGGTGGCTTCATCGAACTGCTCTACAGCCTTGGACTGCCACCCTTTTTATGTGAGGAAAAAGTAAATATCTATTTTGCTTAAAGAACAGTTTCCCAGAATTCTGTTGCTTGCAGCTGAGTGCAAATCCTGAATGATTTAGGCTCATACGCAAATGAGATATAAAATCAGACTACCCCTAGATTTTAAACTCTGCCCCGTTTGAGAACTTCAGGCAGGGAGTCTGGAACACAGAAGGTGCTCATAGTATTTACTGAATGAGTTACAAAGCACAGCGAATTCCTGTCAGCATAACCTACACAAGAAGCCTCAGTGGTTAAAGTGTTAGCCTGTGGACTGAAGGATCCCAGATTCAATTTGGTCAAAGGCACATACCTCGGTTGCAAGCTCCCTGGCCCTGGTCGGGGTGCATGTGGGAGGCAACCAATTAATGTCTCTCTCTCTCTCTCATCAATGTTTCTCTGTCTCTCCCTCTCCCTTCTACTCTCTCTTTAAAAAAAAACAACAATGGAAAAAATATCAAGTGAGGATTAATAATAAATAAATCTATAATAATAAAAGCATAATATGTAAATCGACCGAATGGCTGAACAGCAGGACGACCATCCAGACGACCATCTAGATGACCTTCCAGAGGAAGCCGGGGTTGTGAGGGCCAAGGCGGCCGGGGCAGCGAGGGCCTACTCTTGCATGAATTTCGTGCATCAGGCCTCTAGTCTATATATATAAAAGCCTAAGCGACCCTTATGACTGGTAAATCGACCAGTCGGCCAGTTGCTATGACGCACACTGACCACCAGGGGGCAGACGCTCAATGTAGGAGCTGCCCCCTGGTGGTCAGTGTGCTCCCACAGCCAACCTCCCGTGGTTTCTCATCCCCCCACCCCATCCCCTTCCCCCAGGTGGCTGGCCCCAATCCCTGGCCAGGCCTAGGAACCCCACCTGTGCATGAATTCGTGAACTGGGCCTCTAGTAAACAGATAATTAACTTTTTACTGAAATGCATACACACACATAGGTAAGTACAAAAATAAGTACAGCTCATGAATTTTCACAATCTGAACACACCTATGTAGTCAGCATTTAGTAGCAGACACAGAACACCAGGCTTCCCCCAAATACCTTGTCCCCTTTCCCAGCTATCTAGTATGAGAAGGTTAATGAGATTTACTGACATTTTTCTTAAAGAGACAACATCTATGTCTTTTAAACAAGAAAAATTTCAGGATCTAAACACACTTCTTAAGCATTCTTACCCGTTTATATCTCACTTTGGCATCATAGAAACGATTTTGGCGGAAAAGGTAGTTGCCAAACTCCCGTTCAGTAGCTGCCACTTTTAGGACTTTCTGAAGTGGAAATTGATCTTGTTGCTCCTGAGGACCAAAGATAAGGACACCCAACAAGAAAACTGAAAGCTACGATGCCACAATGTCAGTATAATTACACCTGTTCCATTTTTCTTCTTCAGATTATGGACTTTTGTTTATTGCCGTATGTGTGCCAAGCATTGGGCTAGGTGCCTCTGCCCAGGTCATCTGTGTGAATTCCAATAGAAGCCACAGCAGTTCGGTGTTATCACCGCCCCCACTTCACAGCTAGAGCCAAAAGGAGACCTTCTATAGTCCTCCCAGAGATATTCCATAAAGCAGCAGTTTTCATGGAATTAGAAACTGATGGAACTTGTCAAGCACAGAAATCAGAACTATTTATCAACCAAAATTTAACAGGTCTTGGTCTGCCCATGGCCGTACTGGTCTCTATAGCCACAATGCACTACCTTGGGTACGTATCAAAATCATCCATAGTGCCTCTTTTTAAAGGCAGATGTCTTGTCCCCGCCTCCCCCACCCAAGAGATTCTAAATCAGTATACTAGAAGTGGGACCCAGGCATCTGTAAGGACCTGTTATGTGTAAAGATGAAAAAAGGTAAGATTCCTCACTTGGGGTGCTGACAGTTTAGCTGGGGAGACATCAGATACAGATGTAAATCTAGGGTGGACATCTAAGATCACATATACAGTCAGAGTGAGATAGAATGACAAAGTGTGCCTCTAACTACTAACGAGATTTGAAGCCCTACCTTTATAGGAAGGGTTAAGGCAACAAAGAAATGGCAACACTTAAATTATGAGAACAGAGTCCATATGTCCCACGTTTCCCGGGATTATCCCATTTACACCTGATGTCCTGGTATCCTATCCACTTAATAGCCCATTTCACTCTCAAGTGTCCTGGCTTGGACAACAAATTAGATGGTCACACTACTTATGAACTACCAAGGCTTCACTTGCTGGAAACCAACCTTAATGTTGAGAAGCAAATGCCCACTATCTTGCAGAGAGAAGTAGGCAAAGGTGACTGACTGAAAAATCAACTCACACTGCTGGTCCATAACAAACCCACAGCCTGGCCTTGACCTAGCACAGTGACCCACATCTAAGGGCCAACATTAAGGACAGAGGAGGAAGTGGGGGAACACCACCGCCACCGCCACCACCCAGGAGCCTCAGGGGTGGAACCTGGGCCAGAGGAGCATCAGCGTGGCATGATAATTACCAAAAACACAAACCCAACCCTCTCTCTATGAAGTGTGACATCTGTACTCCAGAACTTACGGCGGTCAGGGCACAAAACTTGTCTGATTCAGCAGAATCCAGGAAGTCAATTAGCTCAATCTCAAATAAGACAGTGGAGTTGGGGGGGATCAAGGGCGGGCAGCCCAGTGTTCCGTAGGCATAGGGCGGTTTGAATAGAAACCTGGCCAGCTCTCCCCTCCGCATGGTCAGAAGGCCCAGCTCCATGCCCCAAAGGGTAATATCTGGAAGAAGGGACAAAGAACTTGGTTGAAGTTCTCCCAGTACCCTGTTCCAGTGCTATCAATTTCTTTCCTCCTTACGTCCAAATCTCTTTCTGCACTGTGGCCCCAATTCACTTTTCAGCCTATTCCCCATTACCACCACCCTTTCAACTCTAACTTCTTTAGGCTCTGCAGCATTCTGGCCCCTACATCTTTGTTCACACAGTCCTTTCTTCTTGCAACATCTTCCTCCCCATGCCCAGCGTCTGGCCTGATTGAAATCTTATTCAAACTTCAGGGCTCATTTCCAATGCCGCCTCTTCCAGGACACCCTCCCTGATCTTCCCAGCTGGAACTAACGATGCCTTCATTAAGGGCTCCTGCAGCAGTGGGAATCCCTCCCAGGAACTTAAACGATTCTACCAGGTTAGTTGTCTGAACACGAGTCAATCTCCACCACCACACCAGCTCCCGTGTTCTAATCACCTGGGTACATCCTCTCTTTTCAGCGTGCATTGTGGGTAGTAAGCATTCAACAGATGTTTAAACAAACAAGAACACAATGCCCAATGGTTAGGTCAGGATGCAAAGATAACCTTGCCAGGTAGGACATTTCCCTAATACCTAGGTCTCAAGGGGAAACGTAGGCGAGAGCTGGCTGGTTTAGCAAAAACCCAGCCTCCACAAACCGACCCAAAGAACCTGTGCCCGGGACAGTTTCCCAGGCCTAGCGCGCTGTCCCTCATCAATGCCCCCGAAACACTCCTCCTTTTCCAGCTCCTACTGTGAACTTACCCACTCCCAGCTTCATGAGTCGGGGCGTTTTCCTAAAGCAATTCGAATCAAAAGGCTTGTCCATGTGCTCCAGGTACCCAGAGTATTTCACTAGGACAGAGGGCACAGACACAGAAAAATGGACCAATACCCTCACCTCCGTAACATCACGTCTCTTTAATTATCACACAAAAACAACAGAATTAGGCCCTGACTGGTTTGGCTCAGTGGATAGAGCGTTGGCCTGCGGACTCAAGGGTCCCGGGTTCGATTCCGGTCAAGGGCATGTACCTTGGTTGCGGGCACAACCCCGGTGGGGAGTGTGCAGGAGGCAGCTGACCGATGTTTCTCTCTCATCGATGTTTCTAACTCTCTATCCCTCTCCTTTCCTCTCTGTAAAAAATCAATAAAGTATATTTTTAAAAAATCTAATTCTAACAAAGCATGTTCTACCCAAGCCAGGTGCCTCCCCTCCCCCCAAGGTAA